GAGAGGAGGGAGAGGAGGGGGCAACAGAGGAAGAGGATAAGGAGGGAGAGGAGGGAGAGGAGGGGGCAACAGAGGAAGAGAATAAGGAGGAGGAAGAGGAGGGGGCAAGAGAAGAAGAGAATAAAGAGGGAGAGGAGGGAGAGGGAAGAGGAAGAGAATAATAAAGAGGGAGAGGAGGAGCAAGAGGAAGAGAGGAAGAGGACAAAGGGAGAGGGAGAGGAGGAGAAGGAAGAGGAGGAAGAGGAGGGGGCAAGAGAAGAAGAGAATAAAGAGGGAGAGGAGGGAGAGGGAAGAGGAAGAGAATAATAAAGAGGGAGAGGAGGAGCAAGAGGAAGAGAGGAAGAGGACAAAGGGAGAGGGAGAGGAGGAGAAGGAAGAGGAGGAAGAGGAGGGGGCAAGAGAAGAAGAGAATAAAGAGGGAGAGGAGGGAGAGGGAAGAGAGGAAGAGGAGGAAGGGAGGAAAAGAATAAAGAGGGAGAGGAGGAGCAAGAGGAAGAGAGGAAGAGGACAAAGAGGGAGAGGGAGAGGAGGGGGCAAGAGGAGGAAGAGAATAGGACAAGTAGGAAGGGGAAAGAAAGAGACGAAGAGGACAAAGAGGAGGAGGGGAGAAGGAAATCAGGGGGAAGAGGAGGAGGAGGAGGAGAAAGGGAGAGGAGGGAAGAGAGGAAGAGGGGAGGACAAAGAGGAAGAGGAGGGAGGGGAGGAGGAGGAGAGGGAGGGAAGAGAGGAAGAGAATAATAAAGAGGGAGAGGAGGAGCAAGAGGAAGAGGACAAAGGGAGAGGGAGAGGAGGAGAAGGAAGAGGAAGAGGAGGAAGAAGAGGCAACAGAGGAAGAGAATAAAGAGGAGGAAGAGGAGGGGGCAAGAGAAGAAGAGAATAAAGAGGGAGAGGAGGGAGAGGGAAGAGAGGAAGAGGAGGAAGGGAGGAAGAGAATAAAGAGGAAGAGAGGAGGAGGACAAAGGGAGAGGGAGAGGAGGGGAGGCAAGAGGAGGAAGAGAATAGGACAAGTAGGAAGGGGAAGGAAAGAGAGGAAGAGGACAAAGAGGAGGAGGAGGGGAGAAGGAAATTAGGGGGAAGAGGAGGAGGAGGACAAAGGGAGAGGAGGGAAGAGAGGAAGAGGGGAGGGGGAGGAGGAGGAGGAAGAGCAGGATGGCAAGAGGAGGTGGAAGGAGGAGGAAGGCGGTGGGAAGAGAAGGAAGTGGGGGAAGAGAGGAAGAGGACAAGGAAGAGGAGGGAGAGGAGGGGGAAGAAGAGGGGGAAGAGACAAAAAGGAGAGGAGAAAGAGAAAGAGGAGGAGGAGTGGGGAAGAGAGGAAGAGGACAAAGGAGGAGGAGAGGGAGGAGGAGGAAGAGCAGGAGGACAAGAAGGAGAAAAGGAGGGGGAAGGAGAAAAGGAGGGGGAAGTGGAGGAAGTGGAAGGACAGGAGGAAGAGGAGGAGGGGAAGAGGAAAGAAGTGGAGACAGCCCTGGCACAAAAAGAGGGCCCTGCTGATGCCAACTGCCCAGGAGGGGAAAAGGAGGGAGGGTCAGCTTCCAACAGGGATGGGGGGGGCAAAGGATGTTTTGAGGAAGAGCCTCCTGCTTGAGCAAGGGGGCTGGACTAGAAGACCTCCAAGGTCCCTTCCAGCTCCTTATCATTCCGTTTGGAGGGCCTGAGGTCACAGGGATGCATAATGACCTCACAATGCTTCCCTGGCGCAGGGAGCCCGGCCAGTGTGCGGTTGAAGTGTTTGTGTCCCCCCCCCCATTTGGTGGTCGAGGAGGGGCTTCTGGGCCAAGCTGAGAGGTGGGTGTGCCTCCCCCTTCCCCCCCCCCGTGGTAGGGGGTCTTCCCCCCTCAATTCTCCCCATGCCCCTTGCTCTCTCCTGCTTGGCCCCCCACACAGCGCCAGCCTTCCTGCAGATGGGGGAACAGCAAACTGTAAACGAGTTGGAAAGGACCTTGGAGGTCATCTAGTCCAACCCCCCTTTGCTCACGCAGGAAACCTGTCCTAGGGATTCGAACTCCCCAAACTGTCGACCTTTCTGATCGATAAGCTCAGTGTCTTCGCCACTGAGCCACCTAGTTAAGCTATAGAGGATTGGGGAAACTCGGCTTTTGCGTGCACAAGGCACACTGGGGGGTGATCTCACACACACACACACACACACACACCTCAAATCCCCCCTTCTCTGCCATCTCACCTGTGTGTCTTCTGTGTAAAAATATGAATTAATGCGGATTTTAAAAAAAAAAACCACTTCCAAAGCCAAGCCGAGATACACAACGAATGATGGTTTATCAAACTCTTTTAAGAGGAAAAAAAAAATGGGGCATGGGATATGGCGCAAGAGGCAGCAGCTTGGACCGCGGGTTGGACTAGATGACCCACGAGGTCCCTTCTGACTTTTGGTTCTGAGGGATTTGAAGACGGGAGTGATATAGGATGGAAAGGGACACCCATGTCAGATTGTATTGGATCCTAGCTGGGTGCGGCCTTGGTTAGCTGGTGGCCTTCGCGCTGCGCCAGGAACCCTGGTTGGCTTTGAAAAAGAACGCCAAGTTTCTAGTCCTCAGAATAAAT